CAGGACAAATTCCTCCAAACACAGCCCTGTTCTTGGGCATCCGATCTCCCAGCAAACACCTTCACTGTTGAAATTCTGCCACTCTGYAACAAGTAACTCCACAAAAATAACTTCTACATCACTGGAAACCTATATACAAGAGATCAGGACTCCTCCTGAAGGGAACCTCACCTTGCAACAAGCAAATCCTGGCTCCGCACAAACTGCTGTGGATTAGCCCATGTCTGCACTGCTCAGAAACAGCTTGAGTTCCTTCAACGTGGAAGAAGAGCATTTGAGTTTGTTCTTTTCTCGTTTCATTCATTTCCCCCACCCCACCACCAGGAAACACGATAGGGACAGCAATATCTGTCATTCAGCTTGCTGCATTGYTTTGTTTCTTAAGGCTCAGGTTGAAAACAGAGAAAAGGGATGAAAAAAAAATCTGCTTGATGTTTTGGGACAAGGACAGGGAGGAAAAGATTAATGTACAACTCTGGGGCTTTTACAAACAGAAAAAAAAGTTGCTAGTATTTCAATTATGCCAGTCTGACATAAAACTGTAGGATATGACATACATAGTTTATTGTGTACAAGGCAGGATTTTAAATTCATTTAATGTAGCAAATAAAGATTATAGAGGCCACTGGATGTCAGCAACCTTTTTTTTTTGGTTATATTTTTTTCTCCATCAAATTCAGTGCCAGCAAGACTGTATGAAAAACTACGATTCACCTTGTCTGTTATAGTAAAAAGTAGATTCTTAAAAATGTATATTGGAAGAGTCAGCTGACTAATACCTTTTCTAAGTTAATTAAGAGATAAGACATGGTAGAATTTCTAGTAGTCTTGCCCCAAACTGCAGAAGATGGGCTTCTCTTGCTCTGCTATTTACTGGCCCTTATGAAGAAAGAGCTGTARGCATTTTTGGAAAGTGGGAAGGGAACCTGCATTTTTATATAGCATGTATGGCTGTAGAAGATATAAATCTAAATAAATATGAACACAGGAGGATTAAYAGAATTCTTATATTCACTTCCATGTGCCAAATTTTGATTAGCTGGCTCTCCCAGTTACTACTCCTGAAAAGAATCTTGCCCTTGCAGGAAAAAATGCAGCCATTTGTTTTAATGTTTTACTGTCTAAGAAATCCATTGAATTTTTGGTCCACGGGAAGTGGACATGCTGAACAACTTTAGTCACGGGGCCTCATTTTCTAGCAAACTATAATCCACAGAATTTTGTGAACTCTGACAATTGAACGAATCCCAAATGAAAACACCGCAGGCTCACATCAAGCTCTTGAGATACCCCTTGCAACGGCCAGATATATGAAAGCTAATTATGCTACAATGCAATATGYTAATCACTTAAACTGGTAATGAGACAATAAAGTTTTCTAAGGGCTACATTTCCCTTCGACTGTTTGGATGGGTATCTCAGCCTGTGCATTGCTCTGTGATGGCTTCTCACAAATTCTACATCTGCACCTGGTAARGACACCTCATATTTGAAGATCTGTATCTCAAGCAAGCCTCCTTTCATGTTTGTCCCCTAGGATTTATCCTCTCTATTACCTTGACTGTTTTGTCTCCAGAGAGTCCACAAGCGGAAWGTGCTAGGACCTGCTTCTATGAGCTTGGCACAAACTTGGAAAAATAAGAGATATAGAAGTAGTAGCTCTGTTAAAGAATGAGAAGCAGAACAACGTTCAAGTTTCCTACCTGTCTTGGGACTCCATTTAAACTGCCTCCTCCTCCAATGGTTGCTTTTCTCCCAAAGGAGACTTCTYCCTTCCTTCTCTTCCACATAGCAATTAGTGCAACTGCCTCTGAAGCATTTTCTGGAGGAGCCTGTCTCCTCTGCCTGACTCTACAGGACATCAAGAGCCGTGACCAGCAATCCTGGGTCTGTGGACTCCTTGGGGAAAACTCACAAACTACTTCTAAAGGGCCTGTGAAAAGTAAATAGAAAAACAACAGTCTACCATCTGCAGCTTTAAATCTGCTATTGTGGGTCTATATTGCCACTAGATTTTTTTTTATAGAAAGTTTACAGAGACACAATAAAAAGTTGGAAGCTCCTGACACACAAACTTGTGATTCACTTGGTTGAARTTGAACTTTGCAACTTTCTTCCCTTTCCCACAAAGTTATATGGATAAGACTAATTAAGGATCACAGGCACCTCCCCAAATCTCCATCTACTTTGGGGAACGAGGTGGACAATCTCTTCAACTGTGCATGTGTGTGGGCACGGTGCTGGCCAAGAGTGATGGGATCCCGTAATAGTGGCTTGGTTCAGGACCAAAAGGAGACTGTAACTGTTGTGTAACTGCCACCTGGTCCATACTTTGGGCTTTGCCACCAAGGGCCCATCCAAACTTGGGCTTGGGCCTAGGGAAAGCATGMGCCAGTGCCTCAGGTCCATATATCGGAGAGGTCAGACACCTTCTCCTTACAGATCATTTTGGGGAGTAGGGGATGGGGAGGTGCCATCATGCGACACAGTTCCTGAACTAAATTATTAATTATTTAGTTAATAATAACTAAAACAATAAATAATAAAGAAATTGAAACAATTGTCAAGCCTACTGTACCTTTTAGGGTTTTGGGTCTCTCTCTCTCTCCTGTAGACAACTCTGGGTCTTCCTTCTCCAGCAGCCACTCTGGATATTTCTGGAGATCTTTGCTTCAGTTGCCTTCCTTAACAATTTAAGATATCAGTCACCCTTTGTTCCCTGCCACCCTTCTTTAATTACTTCTAGCTCTCTGATTTTTAGATTGGAGTTTTGACCAATATTGGTCTAAATGGACCATTAATAAACAATGGTCCATTGACCCTGGAGATATCTGAACAGGAGTAAATCTGTCTTCATTATGAAGGTAATATATTGTCAATATTGTATTTTCCCTGTTTGAACTCAATCTTTTCTATCAACTTTACTCTCCATTAACTATTAATCCTTTCAGGAATGAGACGTCTCCTTTACCTCCACTCGCATCTCTCTCCCAGTGAAAACAAATCCATTGCCCATAGCCTTGCTCTGAACACGTTATTTTTTGTGCTATACACTGTTCCCTATGGTTTAAATAACCTCACAGGTTATTTAAAATGGAGTTCCTCTCTTCTTTTTCCATGTTTTTCCACACAATTTCCTTCACCATTATTTCCAGCAGAGCATATACACACTGTRTGGTGATGAACAGCATAAAGATCCCTCAGCCAACACAGAGCAGGGCCAGGCCCCTGGAAGCAGCCAGGTCCGTGTCAACACAGCAGTGTGGATCTATGGACAACAAAATCTGTGGAGTTTGCTCAGCAAAAAGGTCCTGTCCATCAGCTGGGCTGTGCTAACCAGCAACATTTGTATTATCCACTACATACACAAGATAAAACTTGGCTTAACCACCTTTCACTGAAGTTCATGCCAACACAGCTCACGGCAAGCTGCTTTGGGACAGCTGATACATGAGCCTGACCATTTCACAACATYTTTCATACCATGAAAACACACTGAAATCTACCTCAAACCTTAAACAACTCCACTGTGATGCTATTCTGTTCTTCAGACACTTGCTTCACTCCATGCACATCTGCTCCACATATTCTCTTCAGTTTTTATAATCCACTTCATTTCATGCTACTCTTAGGCCTGGAACCATCTCCTACACCTCACACTTCAGTCATATTGTCATTTCTTCTACCTCTACATTCCCTTTAGCCTTGCTGTTATACCTCACTGCTTTAGCTAATCTTTCAATAATTCATGAGACGAACCTCTCTTACTACTGGGTTGTTACCTTGCATGTAAAATTATCATAAAGCTAGATAATAATTCATATTTTCATAGCATTCAACTAACTTTGGTAATTTCTAGGCATATGTTGACAATGCTGAGAGACACTTCGGAAGAATCATGTTATTTAAAAATAAAAAARGCGGAGAACATAACCAAAAAGCATAAAGCTCAGAAATAACTTGAAGTGAAGACTGCCTGGCCATGACAACCATGTCCAAGCACACAGACCATTTTCTTTAAAGGGCAATAGGGATTTGGAAAACAGGCTGATTCCCTCCTGTTTTTTGGACTACAGGAGCTCAGGATCACCTTGCTGACCTGCAGCTTTTTGCTTAGGCAGTTGTTGAAAAATTCTGCTCTGGGGTCAGTGCTCATTCCCCTCTTCTCTGCAACCAGCACCTGACTACTGACCTATACTGTTACAGCAAGATGCCTCTAATCTAAACATTCTTTTCCCTTCCTTAAATTAAAAACACCTGTTCTGTTTGCAAATACCCAGCAGCTCTTCTAAGATTTTTTTGCAGGTCCTTGGGGAGATAACAACTTTTCAAGTTAGGCACAGGTATGTTTATGTTAAGAGCTGTTTTCATAAAATTTAATAATTCTCCTCCTTCACTGTCAAGATGAAGATATCATTATTAACAGGGGAAAAAAAAAAAAAGGATAACAACAGAATCATTACCTTTTTTGGCTTTTCTGACATCTTCTATTTCTGACACGGAYGTAGCAGAGCTCCAGAGCTCATGTCACAGTCTCTAAATATTTACCTGAGAGCAGAAAACTACAGCGTGGTCAGAAAGCAGAGTTTTCTTAAACTCTCACCTTCAGTCTAGCCTTTATAGAAAGGCTGCTTCTGAAAAACCTACCTCTCCCAGGATCAGATTTACATAGACAGCAACATCGGATTCCCGCACTCTCTGTATAAATGAATGAATGGCTAAATTGAAATACTGAATGTTTTAAAGTCTTGTTCATTTAAGTTTACTTTTTTTTTTTTT